AGAAGAATATGATGAAGAAAAGGAGACCAAAGAAGATGACCAGCCAATAAAGAAACCTGACACCTAATTCGCATCAAAGTTCAATTTTACAACACCAAAGTTAATTTTTACAACGTCAAAGTTCATCTTGACAAAGTCAATATTTCCCTATATATAAAACAAGGAGCACTGATGATGATCCATTCGGAATCGAAATATGGCCTTATTTGCAACATGAATTCGAAAAATAAGTTTATTTTGAATTTTAATAAACTAAACGTTCACCAAAAAACTTTAGTGAGAAAATCGAAAAAACGAACTACAAACATATTAACGCCAAACATTCGGTAGAATTTATAGAGTATTGTAAAAATTATGGTCTATTACTAACATATATATATATATATATATATATATATATATATATATATATATATATATATATATATTCATTTAAATTTAGAGCTTTCATGTCTTGCTCGATTTTTTGCGACCAGAACTTCTTTGGAAGGCCTTTGGGACGTGTGCCAGATACTTCAACATCTGCAAGTGAAGTTATGGCACTGTTTCCACTTCGTTTGACATGACCAAACCACCGCAGACGGTGTTGTCGGCATTCGTCCTTTTTATCACCAAAATGAGCACGACACAGGATTTCGGTAGATTTGATGTGTTCCTTCAGACTAATTCGTTGCCTCCATCGGAGCATTTTCATATCGGTTCGTTGAAGTTGTTGTTCCAGTTTGGTTGTCATTGGTCATGTTTCTGCACCATATAACAACACCGGCGTATCACAGTCTTAATCGTAGTAGGATGTCACGCCGCATCAACATAGAGGCATGGAGATGCCGTTCATTCCAGGCTGCACATATGCATGCTCGAACGGCAGCTTCAGCTGTTCTAGTACAATCCAGAACATCTCCTAGATATTGAAACGATGTGACTTTCGATACCTTAATGGCTTCAAAAACATTGCTATTTAGAATTTGTTGTTGTGGATTGATGCAGGCATGACAAACAAAATTGGACACTTTAGATAAAGTACCAATTATTTTTGAACAACGTTTGTGGCACCACTGGTTACACTGCTGACACTTGATTGAATTGTTACCTACACCAGCTTTACAAACTGAACAGGGCCATCGTCCAGTAGCTGTGGATTGGATGGGTTCACCAGTGTTCATTGCTTTGGTTTTGCTGATGTTGACTTTGAATCCATGATCAGCGAGTCTGGTGTTCCAATCTTCAAACATCTGTGCTGCATTCTGCTCAGACGTGGCTGTTAAAACGATATCATCAGCATATACTAGATTCCAAATGTCACCAGTGCGTATCGGTTTTGTGATTTCTTCCATCACAGTTATAAATAACAGTGGACTGAGAATCGAGCCTTGGTGAACTCCAACGCCGATGTCAAATGCATCTGTGTTTCCAACCGTTGTGCTGACAAGAGTCTTAGTATTCATATACATTTCCATCAGAAGTCGAACAAGATATTCTGGAATGAGTTGTCGACGTAGGCTCCACCTGATTGCTTCACTGAGAACCCGATCAAATGCTTTTTCAAGGTATACAAAAATGTGTGATAATTGTTGATGCTTTGCGAGGTACTTCTCTTGCAGTTGCCGAGGGATGGGAATTGCATCAATTGTTGATTTCCCCGCTAGAAAACCAAATTGATAATTTCCGATTGTGATGCACGACGTTAATCTTCTCTCAATGATTTTTTCGACAATTTTCAATGAGTGTTCTAACAGACATATACCCCGATATGATGAACAGTTCAATGGATCACCTTTGTCTTTTTATAGCGGAACTGTCGTGCTATAGTTCCATTCAGTCGGCGTTGAGCAATTTCTCTAGACGGCAAAGTTGTAGTAACGTTTGGATACCTGCAGTACCAGATGCTTTGATAATGTCATTAGTGAGTCCAGAAGGCCCTGCTGCCTTTCCATCCTTCATAGCTTTCAGAGCTTCTGTAAGCTCCTCTACAGTAATGTCTGGAATCGGATCTTCGATGGGTGAAGCATCAAAGTTGACATTGATGGAATTTATTTCATTTAACAGACGGTTGAAGTATTCTTTCCACTGTAGCTTGATATCATCTTGTTCAAGAACCATCTCATGATATTAAAAATATATGCAAATAAATTCAATAAATAGACATGAAATTCTGATGAAAATTTTTAACATCAAAATAAATATATATATATATATATATATATATATATGTATATATATTTTATATATATATATATATATATATACATATATATATATTTATATGTTCTATTGCTTCAGTGTTATGTTTTTTGTTTTGGTGTTATGTTTTGTTGTATTAATTAGTTCGGTGTTGTTTTATTGTGCTAATTTTATTTGGATCATTTACTTGCTCTCCGATTTGTAGTTGGTGTTCGTACGATTCCTATAATAGAAGATGATGTCAGTGTTTGGTTTATTATGTTGTGGGCTGTTAAGTTGTTGTAATTTATTTTTAATTATATCCTCGATCACTGATGTATAGTATCCATTGTTTACCAAGAGATTCGTGATTCTTTTCAATTCCACATCACGTTTTTCGGTTGATGATGAATGAGTGAAGGTGCGGTTGACGAATGCTTTTGTTGTACTGATTTTAAGTTGTTCAGTGCATTCACTTTTTCCATCGAGGCAAATGTCTTTATTTGTAGTTTTTACGTTGACATGTGTTCATTGCGGGTGACGACGACATCAAAGAAAGGTATGGATTTATTATTTTCATACTCAATGGTGAAGTTTACTTTGGATTTGTTGAGAACAGGGAGTAGTTTATTAACTTTATTAGGATTTTTATATGATATAAAGATGTCATCAACGTATCTTGCATATATGTGAGATTTGAGATGAGGGATTATCTTGAAATGTTGATTTTTTGAGATGACCAATATTGAAGTTGGCAAAAAGAACATCTAGAGGTGAACCCATAGCAACTCCGTCTATCTGCTTGTATAGTTTCCCGTTGGGACTGTAGAACCTTGCCCCCCGTGGTGCAAGTTTGCAATAATGACTTTAGCTTGTGTTTAGGTATTTTTAATGGGATTTGATTGGAATGGTGAACGGTGATGGTTTATGTCAATGGTATTTTTGATGAGAACGTTGATACGCAATGATTCTACATCAAGGGAAGCGATATGATTGGATGGCTGGTTTGTGTTCAACAAACTTATGAATTCTTCAGAAGATTGTAGGTTGTAGTCATTATTGGTGTACGGAGTTAGAATTTTGTTGAGAAGCTTGGATATAGGATAGGTGGCTGTCGGGATTTGGCTTATAATTGGACAAATTGAATATGCTTGAATGTTTGTATGAGTGTTAGGATTTATAAATTTGTGAATGTAGATTAAATGTGAAAATGTATTTATATGTATGTTTATTTATATGAGAGCGACTGTGAATGGATGTATAGTAAATGTGCGTGTGTTTGAATGGGTGCAAATGCAACACAATGTATAAATGGTAATATTGAGTTTATCAAGAATTATTTTTATTGGAATTATAGACAATTACTTAATGTTCTGTTTTTATACTAACTTTATTTGTATGGCGAAGTGGCTGTGATTTATGGGTCTCTCGGATATCTCTTACAGATATTCCGAGTCTATGATTTAATTTTTTAAGCTCAAAAATATATTACAACTTATTATGAAACCTTGAACAAATTTTGTTACGGTGACTGTGCTAGATGAGTTCATTATAGAGCTCGATCATAGCCATCCCGCCTTCTCAATAATTTATTGTTTTTTTCTTTTTTTGAGAAGCAAATAAATTTAAAAAAAAAGAGGATTATTGGTCTTGTAGGTTTTAATGTTACCATAGAGGTATCCAGGGGAATATTCACCAACGAGTAAATTGATTTCTTCGCTAGGAATGTGTTTATTGATTTTTCGAATCAGTCCCTTCAGTTTTGTACTGAACCCAAGACAAATCCAAAGTAAATTTCACAATTGAGCACGGGAATAATAAATTCTTGCCTTTTCTTGACGTCCTCATTACCCACAATGAACAGAGCTTTGAAACTGCACTCTACGTAAAACTATCATACTAATAAAGACATTTGCCTCAATGGAAAAAATGAATTCACTGAGCAATTTAAAATCAGTACGACATGAGCATTCGTCAACCGCGCCTTCACTCACTCCTCATCAACCGAAAAACGTGATGTAGAATCGAAAGGAATTAAGAATCTATGGAATCTGCACAGCAATTTATCTGATGTGCGACCTCTTACTTTAACCTCAGTAATCGTTCATCCGGTTTATTCCATAGTCATTTACTGCTTAAGCATTTAATTTAACAATTAATTTAAGATAAGTAAATTTATCAAATGTTTTCTCGAAGTCAGTGTATAACATCAACATCTCTGCCTTTTCATTGGCAATATTCCATTTTCCCAACATTTTCAATAACTTTAAAACAGACTTTTTAGACATAAACCCGAACCAATCGTAAAATTAATCATTCTTTTTCAAATTAATCCGACGAAATATTCTTATCAAATGACTCCACAATAAATATAATGAAATAGGTCTATAATTTTTCCCATTACATACATATCCGTTTTTATAAGTTTATCAACAATACTGTCTCTAAATATCGGCTCTTTTTTCAATGTTAAAGATACATTAAACAGTTAATATTAATATTCTGATATAATATATCTGTATTGGCTCAAAGGTAGTTTGATTAGCTAAGACGGTATAAGTGCTTTATCTGTTATTATGCGATGGCCTTGTTCAAATGCTGTCTGTTCGAAATTCATAGACTATCATACGCCATGCGTGTATAATGCGGTGCCTGCGTATGCATACGAATTATGTATGTCGTGTGGTATACAACATAGCTTCTTTGGCATAAAAAATTGAAGTTCAACCAGTTCTGTATTTTTTCTTGTAATTATAAAGTTCAAATTATTGCTACAGTTAAAACAAGAGTTCCTTTTAAAGAACCACGTTGAACACTTCAAAGAGCAGTTGATAGAAGTGATGAAGTTGGTGAAAGAAGACCCGACAGCTGCCCTCTCGTTTCTGAGCAAGACTGATGATGACATAGAATATGATACGATAACTGACCCCATGAGAACCTCCATAAATGAGAGCGACACGACAGAAGGAGATTTTGTCAGTGAGACAGGCGTCATTGGTGTTGCACCTATTTGTAGTGGAACTGACACTACGGTTTCAGCTGGGGTTGCCGAACTACAAGAAAAGGAAGGAATGCAAATGAACAGTTTCAAAGAATTAATCGCATCAACATCCTCAGTTGTTCCTGCTTTATTGAGCGATGTTTCTACAGATTGTACAGTCACTGTGGCAGCCACGAATTGTGTAAGCTCAGCATCGGCTGTTTTGACAACTTCTTCTACAAGTGATGGGAGCAATAACAATCAGATGTCAAAAGGTTTATATTATATTTAGTTTCTTTTTATGAATTTTCAGTTCGTGCATTTATTTATTTATGCTTTTTTTCAATATTTATTCATTAATTAATTTACAAAATTTGTCGGTGGACTTCCTCGAGATAAAGAAGCATGGTGAGAAGATGAGGTGGAGAGTGCAGTTAAAGACAAAATGAAAAGTTATAAACAGTTAGTATTTTCAAGATGTGAGGAAGATAGAAAGATTTGCAGAGAATCGAGGAGAAACGTTAAAATAGAAGTGGCAGTTGCTCGTTTTGTCGTTATTTGGCCATGCACGCTGATTTTCATTTGATTTAATAAGATTTACATTTGACAATTTAATTAATAATATCTCTGTAAATATAGAAAGTTTTTACATAATATATTTATTGGAATTTGAGTAATTTCAAATTTAGTGTTCAAATAGCGCAGATTAATGTACTTAATATTATAGCCTGCTGATGAATTGTACTAAAACAAACGTATGTCCAGGAATATTATAATGATGTCTATCCAAACGAATCTAGCAAACGTATGAAGATAGCAACTTAGTAAGAAGTGATGAAGTAAAAGTTAATTACTTGAAGGATAAAATCAGTAGATTGGTGTGTAATAAAATAGTAAAGAAAAGGATTGGGCTTAAATGCATGAAAACGTTGGTTATTAAAAGGGAGCGTGGGATGCAAGTATAGAAATGCCGAAGCTGTGTGGAAAATAAAATGTGGGAAAGCCGCAGTCTCGTTAGTAGTGGTGAGGGAAACGGTGAAAATGGCAGAAGGCTGAAGGGAAGGTAATTGTAACAAGGCCATAAAGTTATTGAAACACTGTATTAAAATATTGGAAAGGGTGTTGAAACAATAAATTTAAAAGAATTTAAAAATTGAGTTGATGTTTGGTTTTACTTAGTAAGTAATACGACAAATGCTCTTTTGATCCTTAGACAGATGTGTACTATGCGTCTATAATAGAGTGCCCACGAAGTGTATATGGGCAATGATTAAGGCTAGAATTAAAGCGTGGCTCTTAGACATGGTTTTGTGAAGAAACAAAGTCGGTGGTAAAGACTATGGATGACGTGGAGTTGGGTTTGTCTAGAGCTCATTACTGTTCATTGTAGTAAGAGAGAATCTACCGTGAAGCTGTTTCATGCGTTTGATCTAATACTGATGGTCAAAATGAAAGAGAGATAAAAGTGAAACTCGCTAGATGAAAAATAGTATTGAAGAAAAAGAAATAGTAAATATATCAACGGCTAACAACAAATGCATAAAACAGTTTATGGTACGACTTGGGAGGAGATGATCGGTAGCGAGCTGTTAAGGAAAATTCTAAAGATGAGATGTTTTTTTGAAGTGGTTTGAATTGGGCGTCTAAAATGTTTTTGACACGTTAAGAGTAAAAACGAATCGGTATGATTGTCGAGCTGTGGAATAAATGAATGAAGAGGTAAGGAAAGGTGGAGGCCGACAGGTGATTGAATGGGGTTAGAAAGAATTATGGGTTGATATTTGTCGGCTAAAGACTAAATTGAAGCGTGATTAAATTTTGATGGACAGGCATATACCTAAGATGGTAAATGCTGTTTTGAAATGTTCGCTGATGGTTCTAGGATGAACCAAGAAATAAATACTTTTAAACATTTATGAAGATTTTTTTTGGAAAATGAGAATAATTTATTTGATCTAATGGCATTTATCTAATATTTTAGTCTAATCATTATTCTATTTTAGTAAATCTGTTTTTAAATTTAACATTTATTTAGCTTCTATAAAATCTTCACGTTTTTACTATACATTGAAACAGGGAACTCAGTAGCAAGTTTTTCAGTGGGGACTGAGCCATCAAGTGATGCTGAATACTATTACACCCCACTTGGCAGCCCAGATGAGTCGAGAAGGTCATCCATTAATTGTACAGTCACTGCAAATGTAAGTTTATGCCTTTCACCCAAAAATAATTGTACAGTCACTGCAAATGTAAGTTTATGCCTTACGCCCAAAAATATTGTTGAGTATGTTTTTGGTTCTCCTCTACCTATTTTATGTTTAAAATCCGAAGTTCATTTTGTACATGAAGAATCAATCAAGATTTATGTATGATTATAAATTTCACGATTGGCAAACAATAGGCATCTACACAATGACTCAAGAATGTTATGGTCTATATTTCAGCACAGGTTTTTTTTCTGAACAAGATTTCTCTTTCCAGTATCCACCATCAACCATTATTTTATCAAACGACTTTTATTGATAAAAATTAACTGAATGAAGTACGTTGACCATTTGCCACGTTTGAATGGATAAGAAAAGTTAAAAGCATTTCAAATTTACCGAAAATATTGAATTCAACGTAACGAGGAAAACCAGTTTTAAAAACTTCAAACAAAAAATTATTAAAAAATTTTGACTTAAAAATTAAACCCACAAAAACCACAATCAAAGAAAACTGCAACGCAAAAAGACCATGGTTTTGAAACTTTAATACCGAAACCGCACTGATTATAACAATACTTCATCAAATCGCTGTCAAATAAAATTACCGTACCATACTACCCAAAACCGCGATTACGATGCTTTTTAAACCATTGTTGCAGTTAACCGCACATGCACATGGCTGCATGGGATATGACGCGGAACAGGTGTCTAACACTTGATTGCAGTGAATTAGAAGCATATTCATAAATTTTCTTATATTGTTGAAAACTAGAAATTAAAATATTGCCACACATAAAAGCATCCAAGGAAAATATTGAATGCGTTTACTTTTGTACATGTGTATCATAGCTCTTCAAGCAGTTTTTTTTGATAATTTATAATTCTATCTAGTTTTCAGAAAAGTAAAATTCTAATTAATATTAAATGCATGTGGTTTTTTACACAAAAAATTTCCTAGAAATGTATGCTGAGCAAAGAAGTATGTTAAATTCCAAGTCTCAAATTTCTGGTAATGCCCCGAAAAATATTTATAATTTTTTTTTATTTTTAGAATTGTCATTCTATTTTAGTGTTTATTATTGATTAAAATCTTGACCTTAATATTTTTACTATTTAATGATAACAAATATTGGCTTTAAATTTTTAACTTGAATTAATACATTAAAATTCCTTAATAAAAGGAAATTCCAGTTCTAGCCCGATAAACGACAAAACACTACATTTTATGAAATCCTATCTGTATCCGGAAAAACAAATAAGAAATAAATTTAATAAAAACGTGTTTAAAAAGAAAAGAAAAAAATTTTTCTTGCAGCTTAATGTAGGAAATTATTATGGGGTTTTATAAGTCATTTGTAATGAAGTCATTAATTTTTGAAAAATCAAGTGCCGAAAAGTTTTATTTTTATTATTTAATTATTATTTTTGTATTTTGATTTTGAAAAAAGCTCAAAAAGGTGACTTTTTGAACTTTTTTCCCAGCAAACAGACAGCATGACCTTTTTTGATGGATATCGGCTTTTGAAATGCTTTGAGCCAGCTCATCTTTTCTGCTCCATGATCTCTTGCGTTTAACATTGTTATATACAAGCCATTTTTCGTCCCCAGTAATGATGCGCTTCAAAAATGGATCATTTTCGTGACTGTTGAAGAGTGAAGTACAGACTTCAGCGCGACGACACAAATTTCTTTCCGTGAAGACAAAAGGATGCTAAACCCAGGCCTTTCAGATGGCCATAAACAGTTGAATTTGATAAATTTAACCTATCACAAATCTCACTTTTTATTCACCGGTTTGCATCAATGCCTTTATTGCGTCTTTATCAGCTTCAACTGATCTTCCAGAACGTTGTACATCTTCCACATTAAAATTGGAATCGAAATTTTGCTAACCAGTTCTGGCACCGGCGTATTGTCAACACATCTTCTCCTTGCACATCGGTTAATTTCTTTCTAGCTTGAACAGCATTTTTACCTTTTCTTTAGTAAAAAATGCTGCTTATTGCTCCCCATATTTCATTGGACACCGACCAAAAACTACTGCGTAAAATCAATTGAACTTATTCACATACAAGCCTTGCCATATCAGCTGTCAAAACATCTAATGACAATGTGACTTAAGTGTGAAGTAAGCTGTGAAAAAATACAATTAAATCTTCTGTCGGGAAAAAACGAAATTACTTCCTGAATAATATAATAAATTATTTCCTAATACTTATCAGATATACTAATTGAATCTAAACGCCCCGGTTTACGACGTCTTCTTGTTCTCATTTCTTTTTAACTTGTGTTAAACATTCATTTGCTGAATCTACATTTTTTTTTCTGGCTCTTTTTTCTTGAACTCTCTACCTCATTCTCTGACTACTTCTTCATCATTTACGAAGTTCAGATCTGTTTGCAAAATTCACTGAAGAACGCTGTTGAACATTCCGAAAATAACTCTTTGCAAACTAATTGATTGGTTGAGGCTTTCAGAAACGTTACTTATAATGAAACATGCAAGCACCTACGAAGCTACGCATAACACACTATAAACCTAATAATAATAAGAATTTTGAAATTTATTTATTTTTAAAAATTAATTGTTTAATGTGTTTTTCACCTAACAATGTTTGGTTTCAAAGATTTTGTTGGAAATATATAAAAATTGTAAAAATATATTTTATAATGTTTTGTCATCTCATTATTTCCTTCTACCATTTGTTATTTAATTTTGCTAGTAACAGTATTTACGCTCGATTTTTGTGTATCATTTTTTTATTATTATCCAGACTTTTATCTTAAGTTTGTTTTGTTTGTTTTCAAAAATCTTCAGATGTCATATAAGGTTTTAAAAACTAAAAACACTAGTAAAATTTTATTTAGTGCTATTTCGAAAATTTCAACGCTGATATAAAATACAAAATAAAAGTGATTAATAAAAAATTATTCAATTTCATATGTAGAAAACTTGTCCAGACCTGTTGGATTCTGTGAAAGTTGATGCTCTTAGGAAAAAGGATAACAATAGTGATGGAAACATCGCAAAAACAGTTGAAATGACGACAAAGGCTTTGACAGTCAATGCATTTGTAACAACATCAACGTCAAACGTTTCCACCTCATTAATTTCTATGAATGTCAGCACAACAAGCAACCAAAATATTCTTTCACCAAATGTTACTGTCGGACAGACTGCAAACTTGCAACAAATTTCTCAACAAACCCCTACTCAACATCTTCCGCAACCACAATCACAGCAGCTTCAACAGCCTCCACACACATTGCAGCATCAAACATCTCTGCAGCAGCCGCAACAACAGCATCAACAACAACCACCCAACCACAATTTTTCAACGAACATGTCTTCAATTTCTACTTTAACTAATGCTGCCATGAAGCAGAAATGTGATGTAAAAGATTTTGAAAATTTGAAATTGAAATTAGGACAACTGACTAACCATCCAGGAACAAAAATGGAAACTCCAAAAGTAGAATCAAAATCTAAACTCGAGTCAACCCCTGTAACATTAGCAACAACTACAGCTACGAGTGCAACAACACCTGCTGGCGTTCCAAGCCTTGCCAGAACAAAAACAGTTGATCAATTAGGTAAGGTCACAGCCTCTTCAACCCTTCAGAATAATGTTTCCACCGTCTCATCGAAAGAGCAATTACATTCACAGCCAATTATTCAACAGCTTCAGACAGTTAATCAACAATCTCAGATTCATCAGCAAACTTCATTATCTCAAGCTCAACAAAAACAAACAATTAGTCATGTACAAATGCCCCAACTGTCGAATAATCAGCAACAACCATCTTTGACTCCACAGCAACAAATAGCCGTGACACTGCAACAACCCATAACCACACAGCTGCAACAACAGCTATCGTCCTTAATCCCTCAACAACAACCAACTTTGGTTTCACAACAACCAACTTTGTTTTTACAACAACAGCCAGCTTTAGTAGCACAAAAACAGCAACCGACTTTAGTTCCACAGCAACAGCTTCAAACAGTTAATCAACAATCTCAGATTTATCAGCATACTTTATTATCTCAAGCTCAACAACAACCATCTTTGGTCCCTCAGCAACAAAAACCGACATTGGTTCCACAACAACAACCAATCTTAGTTCCACAACAACCGTCTCTGGTTCAACAACAACCGACTGTGGTTTTGCAACAACAACCACAACAGCCACCACTAAATTTGATTACACCCCAGCAACCAAAATCAATTTTAGTCCTACAACAGCAACAACCGACTTTAGTCCAACAACAACAACCATCCTTGGTCCCACAACAACAACAACCATCTTTTGTTCCAAAGCAACAACAACAGCAGCAATCATCTTTGGATCAACAGCAACAACCATTTTTACTCCCACAACAACAACCATCTTTAATCCCACAGCAGCAACCATCTTTGATCTCACAACAACCATCCTTAGTTCCACAACCATCTTCTGTTTCACAACAACAGCAGCCATCCTTGGTTCTACAACAACAACAGCCTTCCTTAATCTCACCACAACAGCCATCCTTGGTTTCACAACAACAACCATCCTTGGTCCCACAACTACAACCGTCCTTAGTTTCACAAAAACAACAGCCATCTTTAGTTCCACAGCAACATCCATCGCTGGTCCCACCACAACAACAACATCCATCGCTGGTCCCACCACAACAACAACATCCATCGCTGGTCCCACCACCACAACAACATCCATCGCTGGTCCCACCACAACAACAACATCCATCGCTGGTCCCACCACCACAACAACATCCATCGCTGGTTCCACCACCACAACAACATCCATTGCTGGTCCCACCACAACAACAACAACAACTATCCTTGGACCTGCAACAGCAACCATCATTGATTTCACAGCAACTTACATCCTTAGTCCAACAGCAACAACCATCTTTGGTCTCACAACAACCACAATCATCTTTGGTTTTAAAACAACTACCATCCTCGGTTTCTCAACAACCAACTTTGGCTTCCCAACAACAACAACCATCCTTCGCTTTGCAACAACCTTCTGTTCAACAACAACATGTGGTTCAAGAACAGCAACTGATTTTGATTGGACATCATCATCAGCAACCAACTTTACTTGGACAAGAACAGTCTTTAGTTCAACAAAAATCTTCAGTTCAACAACAACAACTGCCCTTAATTTCTCGACAATCTTCTTTGCTTCAAAATCAGCAAACCGTGATTCAACCACAGCAACAGCCTGATGTACAACAGCTGCAAGTTTCTGCTCAACAGCAGCAGCAATCAACATTTCAACAATGCTTTAATCTTCAACAAAATTTTTTGCAACACGTTTCTCAACCACAACAATTGAATCTGAATGATGATTCAGCTGCAGCCGCATTGCAGGTTCAGCAAGAGAAATTTCTTAACCAACAACAACAACAGCAGCAGCAACAGCAGCAGCAGCAACAACAACAACAAATTCAAGAGCGTTTATCAAGATTAGAACATGAACTAAAACAGTCACAATCTTTGAATCAACAAAAACCACAACCTCTTTTGTCAGCTGATCTGTCCACAGTCAATGAACTATCTCAGGATATTTCTGATCCATCTAGGGAGGTTGAAATGTTGACTCAGTCTTTACAGCAAAAACAGTATTTTCAAGAAATTCAACACTTGCCAGATCAACAAAATTTGGGAAACGTGAAACCTGATGATAATTCGTTCATTAGTCTATCAACCTTAGATGTTTCAAAACTATCTGACGTTGAAGAGTTAAAGTCTTTGTTGGATCTCAATGACAAATCTTTGATATTACAACGTCAGCAACAACAAAGTTTGCCTCTATTACAAGAAAATATTCAACAATCAACAAGTCAGAACATTCTTTTGTTACAACCTGAAAATATTATTGAACAACTTGCTAGACATTTGGCATTTTCCCAGAAGCAGGATTTACAAGATCTTTCCGCTGCTACTTATAATTTATTGTTGCAACAGCAAATTCAGCAACGCCGAAAAATGTTACCTAAACAGATTACATTGAATTCTGATTTGTTATCAGTTTTGAAATCATTACAATCTGATTCTCTTCCAAAATCAAATACCTCACTACCCATAGACCCACAGCAACCCACTTCCTGGACGAACTTTGTTCATAGCTTAATAAACAATAGTGGCGAGCAACAGTTGCAACAGTCATTATCTGCAAATTCTGATAAAAACCTAATATATCCATCTCACCAGCATCTGTCTCAGCAGTTAGACCAAGTAAATTCAACTGTTCCCACATCTCTCCTATTATCAACGTCGTCACCAAAAAAAACTATAACTCAATCAAAAAAATTTACAACTCACGACGGAGAAAATGTTAATGCTGATGATATGTCGAATCTTCACCAATCTCAATTGCCACAGGTGGTTTCAAGTACTCCACCATCAGCAAAAGAGAAGTTGTCCGACTTTGCTATTTTAGAACAGCAACTAATTGAAAAACTTCACACCAATCCTAAGAAAATGATGCATCCTCAAAACCTTGCAAATTACTCACCATCTGGAAACTCGCTGCCAGTTCATGTTGCCTGGCCGAAAACTACTGCTGGAATTATTTCTTATGCTCAGTCGGTTGTATCAAGTGGTGTGCCTATTTGTAGCACGAGTGTAGGAGTTGATTCAAGTCAATCGTCTAATCAAGTCATTCTTCTGGCTACATCGTATTCTGAAGGACAAAAACCAAAACAGTCATTTAACAAAAATTTAACGATAGCTGTAACGTCAACTTCTGCATCTGCTTCTGATTTACAGACAACTTCGTCGAAAAAGAAAAAACGATTTGTTGTGTCAAGTGTTAAAATGGATCCAATAAAGGCAGCTAGTGATAGTTCCATCGATGGCAACTCATCAATTACTTCTGCCCTATCTTCTCCTGATAAATTTGGTAAGCTAGACATACCAACGTCCATCAGTGCCCAGCTGAGCAAGCCCAGGAAGGGCAGGTTTGAGGTTACTTTGACTACGTTGGGAATTGACTGTGGAAGTGCTGCCAGTGCTTTTACTCCTATTGTTAAGGATGTGAAGGATGTTAATGTTATCGACGGAGTCAGGTAAAAAATTTTTATTCATATTTAATGTTTTGGATTATCTATTTAAATATTGACTTTAATGGCTAGAGCTTGTGGTGCTTTTTAGCAATGGTTCAAATGCAAAAGCACTCAGAAGTTTTTTGCATGTTACATATGTATGTTGTGTGTATAAGGATCAGATTTTAATTAAAAAATTTTTATTATATTTTTTTTTCTTTTTCGATGTAATCAAATTAATTTATTTTTTCAAATAGTCAATCAAAAGTTCTATCTGGAGAAATGTTTCCTAACAACTTACTTGTTACAAAACCACTAACACCACCAGCATCGTTAATATCTACAACATCAACGTTAACATCAAGCTCATACGACTACAAGCCATCGTCTTCGGGGTCTGTCAGCCCTGGTTTAAAAAGATCACAAAGTTTAAAGAGCACCAGTCATTCTGCCTGTAGCAATTCAGTTAAAACAAGTGATCCTCTTGTGGTAACGGCTAAAGACATGCAGAACATTAAGAGAAAACAATCGGTTGATGCTCTAATTGCTGAGAAAATTTCGTCTCAGATAAATTCTGCAAATTTTGATGATGCTAATAAGGTGGAAAATGTTACTGATGAGCCAGTAAACGAGGACTTGCCTAAAATGCTTATTGCTAATGACAAAAAAATCGAATCAGAAGAAGAATCGACAATCATAAGAGGCAGCGAAGCTGTCGCTTCTGCAGCAAAAGTTTCCGATTGTGAACAAATTGATTTACTTTCATTGTTGTTGCAAGAAGCTCGTTATAACGATTTTCACCAGTTAATGAAAGTTGCTCGTCTATTAAGCAAACCAGCCATGCTACAATCTCCACCTTTGCCTATGAGCAAACAACAATCAGAAGATTTTGTAACGTTGCTGCTCAAACAGATTAGATCAGCTAATCAGAGTGAGTTGTTGCAACTTGCCAGTCAAAGTTTGAATTCATCTCCTTGCCTTCAGGTACTTCTTTCTTTTCTGTTGAAAATTTTAAAAATTTAATAGTTATATTATTATTTGGAATGTTTGATTAAACATTTAAATCCAACATTTTTTTATTGTGATAGTTTAACTTGAAATAAATAAAATACTTTTAACAAATATTTAACCAAAAATTACACAGGAAAAGAGTTCAAGCGATTTGTCATTAGGTGTTGATGTAGGTGCAAGACCTTTTGCACAACAAATGTCACTTCAAGAACCTCTCCAATCAAATGCCCAGCAACCACAGCAGCAAATTTTACAAAGCCATCAGTTGATGCAGCTGCAGCATGCTCTATCTCAACAACTGCCCAATATTATAAACAATCTTTCAAATTCAGGAGTTAGATCACACGAATTCTATACTCAATCCTTACCTCCCCAGGTTAGAGTTTCTCAAACTGGCATTTCTTCTCCTACTCCGACCCACCTTTCAACCGGTCTCTTATCTCCTCAACTTCCATCTACGTTGTTAAGGCAACAGTTAATGACGACAAACTTGACTCCCGAGCAGTTAGCTCATATGAAATTGTTATTACAGATTAAAAAGTTGCAAGATGAGTATGTTCAGTTACAGGCGTTATTAGAACAGCACTCTGTTCCTGTTAGTTTGTTGCCGCAGTTGATTGCTCACTTTCAAAATTCTCAACAACAGCAGCAACAACAACAACAGCTAAAATTAAATGACGTGATTGGTAACTTGTTCACTTTAGAAGAAAATCAACCATTAGATCAAAATCTTCTTACTCAATTGACCCAACAACAACAACAACAGCAATATTTTTTGAAAAATAATTTGCAGCATACAAATATGTTGGCAGACGATACATATGCTTTCCTTCTACATCAGCTGCAGCAATCTACGTCCGCACCTCCCGTTGGGAATGCTTCAGCGTTGCAACAAACGTTGACCGACCTCTCCGGCAGTGCCAGCCTGCTGCCCGCTGATTGGTATGTCGATTTGCAAAACTTGATCCTGAACTTGAAGACTTCCCATCTACAACAACAACAACAGATGAATGAACAAATTTTTCTTGAAAATCTGTTGTCTACTTGCCTGGCCAGTCAACATCCACCACCACCACAACAGCAGCAGCAACATCAGTCTGTTCCTGTAATAGCTCCGCTGTTTTCACCTGATTTAAACAATCCCGGGCAGCTGGCCGTTGAGAAAAATCAACTTTTGAGCTTATTGGCCCAGCACCAGCAACTTAAAAATTCGGCTCAACAGTCTTTGAGCTCTCCTTTCAATTCGCAATCGTCTTCTAGTAGATCACTTACACTGCAACAACTTCTTCCTCAACGAAATTTGTTAATTACTCAAAACAACCTGATGCAACAGCAGCAACAACAACAACAACCAGTGTTTCAACCGCAAGCAATGATCAGTCAACAACTGCTGCAACAACTGCCTTCCAGTCATGCTTCAACTGATTCCAACAACAACCAACAACATGCCAAACAAAATGATTTGCCTGTTTTGACTAATCAGCCAAAACAACCATCTCAAGCAAATATTGCTCAACTTTCTCAACAGCAGTTGCAACAATTAACAAATATTTTGCAAAATTCTCTTGATCAATATTCAAACCAAAATCAGCCATCACTTGCAAATCCAATTGTTCAACAAGAAATAAAACAACTTCCACAACAACAGTTCACCCAGCAACAAATACAACAACTCCAACAACAGTTGCAACAAATGCAACAGCAGCAACAACAAAAGTGTAATTTGTTGCAAAATTCTGGAATATTGACACAAATTCCACCTAAATCTATTACTGTGCCACATTTTCAACCACAGACATTTCAACAGCCGCAAGTTAGTCAACAGCTGCCACAAACTGCACCGGTGTTGCAACAACAGCAACAACATTTGTTGAATCAACCAAATTCACAGTATACAGTATTGCCAATAATCCAACCTGCACAAATCCCACAATCACAGCAGCCCAATTCTCAACAAATCCAAAAACCAATTCCAATCCAGCCACATACCATTCAAATGCCTTCTCAGCATCAACAATCGTTGCAGCAGCAACAGCAGCAACTACAACTGCAATACCAGTTACAGTTAAAACAACAGCAGGAAGAATTATTGCAAACTCAACAAAAACTTCAACAGCTGCAAAGTTCTCAACAGATTCCTTGCAGCCAAGAAAAATTGCAACACCAACAGTTTTTGCACCAAATTCAGCAACTTCAACCAACACATCAAGATAGTTCTTTGTTGCAAAAACATCAAACCATTTTACAACAACCACAGCAACAAATACAACAGTTACAAAGTCAACTTGGTAGTTCGGTGATGACCACCTTGCCTGCAACTAAGAGCATGTACTCATCGGGACAGATACCAAGTACTTTGCAACAACCTTCCACCGCTCAACAACAAATACAAAAACAACTTCAGCAACTATTACAGCACACTCCACAATTGGCCAACCAACCCCAATTGCAACAGCCTGCTTTATGTTCACAACAACAACAGCAACAACAACAACCTGGAGTTATTCAATCTAATGCGATCACTCTTCAACAACTACATCATTTATCACAACAGCAACAATTGAAAGATCTGCAACTGCAATTACAAATACAACAATTGCAACAACAACAAAAGCAACAGACAAATGTGGCACAGCAACAGACATCTAATAGCATTCAACAAGCGGGCAACGTTGCTGGTTCTAATTTGGTATCAGATCCAAATGTTGCAATGATATTACAGCAGTTGATGATGACAGACACTTCCCCGCAACAAGGGTCTCCAACAGCACCCATTCAACAGAATTATGTTAGCCATACAGATGCTAACATGTTATCCAGGTTGTTACTCGAGCAACAGTTGGGTAACGCTAACCAGCAACAACAACAATTAGATGGACAACAGCAACAACCTCGATCTGAGCCATCTTAAGATAGTTCAATGTGTTTGATGGGTTGCTATTTTCTTCGTCATACTTTATTGACATCCTATATAGTATACTTACTCTCTTACTTAATATTACATAGATGATGTCGCCGTTTTATAACGTTTGTTAATAAATTTGCTTTGAACGCATAATTTGATATTGTATATTCATAGCGCCATATCCTTGTGGTATCTTTGTACATACACAACACACGCTTTCACACACACACGCACATACACATGCACATATAAATATATATATATATATATACACGAATACGTACATTCATATATATATATATATATATATATATATATATATATATATATATATGTGTGTGTGTGTGTGTGTGTGTGTATGTGTGTGTGTATGTGTTGTGTGTGTGTGTATGTGTGTGTCTGTCTGTTTTTGTGTGTGTATGTTTTTGTGTGTGTATGTAATAATATCTCTAATACATATAATACACATATTATCTCTAGTTTGCCATAACAAATATACCATAGAGATTGTCACCGCTAGTTTTAATAGTTTTGGTAGCTGCTTGTATCAGAATAATTGTTGGCCTACATATCAATTGAATAATATTGTAGACTTCATTTATTTAGCACTCCACTGTCATTTATGGCCCGCATTGGACTGTGCTTTCACTTTACCTTCATTTATCTAAAGAATGTCAATGTTATATTTCCTAAGTAGGCAGGTTGGGTGAGGACAGCTGCAGAACATTGCTATCTCGTCAATATGATCTTTTCAGAGATTTCACTGAATTTAAAATTTTATTTTTAAAATTTGTTGCTTCATTAATGTTTCTTACAATTTTTAGTGGTTTGAAATCTCTGCACTTTCTTTTCTTCTTTCTTTTTTTTCTTTCTTTGTTATTGTTCTAACTTAATAATCAGAAAATAAAAGCCGAAGATTGCTAAATGAGATCAAAATGATGTTTGATGTACTTGCTGTCCTTGCTTAGATGACAGCTTGCACTGATTGATGGTTGTTGTGGTTAAGTGGGAAGATGTTTTAATTAACGGCCTAGTTGGGTATTCAATGAAAGAGCAGCTCTCAGCACAACTTTGCCCTCCGTTTCGTATAAGATGGCTTTTTGTTGAGCAGTGCCAGTTAATTCGACATTAATGTTTTATTAAACATTTGTGGCAATAATATCAAAATTATTTTTTTCGTTATTTTATGATATAATCGGATATGTTTACATCCAATCTATAACTTTTTCTAGCACAAGCACAACACCAATTATTACGATATGGTAATAAACTTTCAGTTGCTCAAAGCATATTAAGTAGCGTAGCGACTGCAAATATTTGGTCTGTTTTTGATTGTGTAATATTGTTGAGCTGTTGGCTACGTGACAAATCAGTTGACACAAGGTCTCGCGAGAAACTTCAGTGCTACCAATGCTAAACAGTGCTTGTGGAGATATACGATTCGAACTTAATATTTTATAAATCAACAGTTTTAACTCAATCATTTTTGTTCTTGTTAGAAATGATGGTTATTCATCTTGTTATCACGTTTATAATGTAGCTGGCTTTCAGCTTCATTCAACATAACTTCGAAATCAACTTAATTATATGATTTGAATTATTAATCTAACCAATTAGTCGATTCATAGAGCGGATTAATAATAAATGTCAGCATCTAATCAATCTTTGCCAATACTCGTATGATCGATTATTTATTATTTTCATTTATTAATTTGAAATTTTCTGTGCTCTAATTCGAACATATTCTACACGATTCATTAGATTCCGATGAATGACTATGAAATAAAAATTAGTGCGCTCTAATAGTACCAACGTTGCTTCCTTCCCGTCTGATTACTGACTGCACACTGTCAGGCTATTAATTATGTTAATCAAACACTTTTTATTTATTACCATTTATTATTTCGTTTGTTTATTTGTTGGTTGGACAAACTTTTGAATTTTAAAACTAACATTTTAACTTACTCATAAACTGAATCAATAACGAACTGGGATATTTATATTGGTCGAATTCTGATTGAAAGACAAAATCATATCATTACTAATTAATTAATTAATTAATTACGATTATTATAATTTGAACATTTTAAAATGTGTAAAAAAGGTTCAACAATTGATAAATACATTTTCGGATGTGTGTATATTTAAATATATATAAATATATATATATCAGGGTGTCGGAGTCGGATAAATGTCCAACTCCGTCTCCAGGTTTCGACTTTCAAAAAATTTTTTAACATTTGCTATGAAAAAAACTATAAAAAACATTTAAAAATCTGTCAACGTAATTGTTTTTCTTAGTAAAATTACTTTATATTTATCTTTCAAAACATACTGAAAGAAAATTGTGTGATTTTATTCACATTATTATCATTTATTTTCAGTATTAAAGACGATTAAATTATATGCATATTTATCTTCTAAAAAAATGGCCCTAAAAAATATTTTCAGAATATAAAAAAAAATTCATGACACCTTCTGGAGTAGGATTCTGAACAAATACCAACTCCGACAAAAATCTCTGATATATATATATATATATATGTATCTGTGTGTGTGTGCGTGTACAGTTATTTACGAATATCACAGCATTATTGGTATTGTTCAATTTGATTTACAATTCGGTTTTCAAAATTTTCGTCCAACGAATTTCAATTCATTAGCGAGTTTGTTGAGCCCATGAACAAAATAAATTTTATTCATTTCAAAAAATGAATAACATTGAACTTAACAATAATAAAAAAACTGAATTGCAATGCCAATAATGTGAAATTCTGAACTGCATATATATATATATATATATATATATATATATATATATATATATATATATATATATGCTTTTTTATTTATATGTCAACTTATATCAATATGTATTCGTAGGCGCGTGTGGGTTTGGGTCATGTTCAGGCTAATAAATTTATCTCAGAATGTGCATAATACATAAAATATGATGCTGAAGCGCAAACCCAAATAATTATTATAATAATAGTTAAAAGAAGAAACATCTGCAGAACTGAATTAGTAACTGGAGCGTGTTTTCTCCATTAACCGTTTGAAATAAAAAATTTAAAGGTTTGTTTCAAAATGTCTAGCAGTTTTTAATATTTTAATATTATGTAATACCTTTACAGATACATTATTTATGTTAGTCATATTGTGAAACAAAATTATAAAATGAAACCACAAATATATTTTAATAAATGATTAATTGGATAAAAAGCAGCGTGTGTATTTGTGGTTTCACGTGTTCCTGTTCATATTTATTATTTTCAATTTACATTGTAATTAATATAGGATATATATATATATATATCAGTCCTCGTTTAGTCTCCATCCGTTATGTATATATATATGTGTGTGTGTGTGTGTCAAATATAAAGATCAAATAAATATATATATATATACATATATATATATTTGACCTTTTGTTTATTTAGTTATTTATATTTATGACGGGTTATTGTAAAATTTGATGATCCTCTCTATGTATCCATTATGAGATGTCTGGACAACGAAGTGAAGTGAAGCAAATGGTAAAACTTATTGACGCGCGCAGTCGTCAACAGGGCGTCTGAACTCGTATGTTACGTGCTTACGTTTTAAAACAGAATCGTTCTTTTTGCTGCAGTTAGAAAAGTTTGATAGATAACTACAAATTGATCAACTCATACAATATTGTACTAATTTTACCACCTACTTACCTACCTACCCATCCACCTACCTACCTACCAATGTCGTTAAGATACTTAAATGTTGTGTATTTGAATGCTTTGCAAATACTTTGTCAAAATCAAATATTTAAATAGTATTCTTAAACAAAATACTGCTACTGATGTTTAAATACTGTAAAAAAGTAATTACAACATATTTTAAATATATTCTATGCTGTCTTCATTTGCCATAATTTAATATGCGAAATTCACGTGCTTAATAAACTCATTACACAATTTTTAAGTATGTAGATTATAGAGAGTTAGAGCAGTTAGCATATTACTGCACAAATTGCACATACTTCACAAAAGAAAAAGGATTGATGGACTTTTTTTATCAAAGTAATTAAATTTTATTACCAATAACCACCGCAAAGTAATTAAATACTGTATAGATACTGCTACTCAATTAATTATTTTAAATACCAGAGCGCTGTAGCCGGAGATTTTTTTCTTAAATATTTTTTAGATTGCGTTTTTAAGAAAATAATTATGTGTAGCGACGTGCAATCATCTTTAACAAAATAAATGCTAATAATGCCAATAAAATCACATAATTTTCTTTCAGTCTGTTTTAAAATATAAAAAGATTTTATCAAAAAACAATTACATTGACTTGACTTACATTACCTACTTGATGAGTGTTTTTAACATATTTCTCATTTAGTAGTGATATTTAAGTAAAATTATGATGCAAAAGTTGAAAATTGTTTCTTGGATTTGGAACCCGGAGTCGAATATTTTTCATTCGACTGCGACACCTTGTTAAATACTGGAGTACTAAACACCGCTATCTACCAACCTATCTTACCTACCCACCTACTACCATTTACTTATCTACCTACGGTATGTATGCATTTATTTATTATATATATAATATGAATTCTACTGAATTTTTGGTATCAACAAATTTAAAGTTTGTCTTTACAATTTTCCTTACTAGAATTTTCTGGAAATTGTTCAATATATTAAAAATAGAATTATTATCCAAATTTACTATGCAAATTTATTAAAAATAGAACTATTATTATGTAAATTCATCATACATATAAGCCTATTTTGATTTTTAGCAAATCATCTTCAGTGCAGCTTTTGTTTAGGTGTATAGCTTCTTAGACAATGGAAAGGTAGCTGATTAATCGGTATCATTCTTCATCTTCTTTGGTGTCACTTCCTTCTTCACCATTTTTATTAGAGTTAGTATTAAAGCGTAGCAGATCCTGGGCACATGGTCCTGACATTCTTTTTAATATTACTGATTCTTGTCTATCTTGGTTTTTTTCTTATCTGTAATCGTTTTTCTCCTGTTGTTCTCAATAATTCTACTTCTAACTACTCTACTCTTACTTTCGGGGTACCTCAGGGTTCTATCCTTGGCCCTCTTCTATTTATACTCTATACCTCTGAACTACCTCGTATTATTAATAACTTTTCTTTTTCTAGTCAACTATATGCTGATGATTTTACTTCTTTTCCTCCATCTAATCTCAATAGTGTTCTTCATAATTTATCTCTGTCTTTCTTCAATTATCGCTTGGTCTGACTCTATGTGTCTTAAACTTAATCCTTCTAAGTTTGAATTAATTTGTTTTAATAATTCTAAACACTCTATTACTATTCCTCCTATTATCTTACCTGATTCTAAAACTCTTGATGTCTCTCACAAGTTTCGTAGTCTAGGTTTTATCTTTGATTCTACTATGTCTCTTTCTTCTCAGATTAATAGTGTCGCTAGAAGCTCTTATTTTCATCTACATAAAACAAAAAAACTTTTGCCTATTCTTGATGATCCTACTCTTCTCCTTCTTGTTACTTGTTACAATAATCAATCCAGGATTGATTATTGTAACTCGCTCTACTATGGTCTTCCTGATTCTATACTCTATCCTTTAAGTAAAGCTTTGAACTATGCTGCTCGTCTAGTTGCTCGTGCCCCTTTCTTTTCTCATATATCTTCATATCTTGTTCTCTTGCACTGGCTTGAGAAATATAGAATAATTTTTAAAATTTGCACGTTTATGTATAAGTCTCAATCTAAATTATTTCCTAAGTATTTGTCAAATATATTAATTGAACCTAAACGCCCCGGTTTACGATCGTCTTCTTGTTCTCGCGTCTTCTTAACTCGTGTTAAACACTCTTTTGCCAAATCTGTTTTTGCTTTTTCTGACCATTTTCTCTGGAACTCTCTACTTCTCTGACTAATTCTCCATCACTTGCGAAGTTCAGAGCGGATCTCAAGACCCATCTGTTTTCAAAATTCATTGAGAAGCGCTGTTGAACATCGCAGAAATAGCGCTTTACAAGCTAATTGATTGATTGATTTCAGGTAACAAAACGAAAAGCCGGAGCGTATTTGATATTTTACCTTTTCTAGATGCAGTTGGTCTTTTTTTCCGACTATCGAGAGGTACCTACCTTTACTTCTCATGCACCTGGTTAGGCAAGCGGATTATGCTGTTGAAATAACTTTTGAAAGGTTTACGTTTTCCCCAATAATTTTCCTCACATTCTTTTACCACTGTTTTTATTTTTCTTTTACGAGAAGCGGGTATTTGCAGTAGAATTTCTTTCGTACGCGCATCAACATGGTTTTTTAACAACTCCGCAAAACGACCTATTTTTAAATTTATCGATCCATTTAGCAATTGGTGTTTAATAAACCTAAAACAATTTTCAACTTTGCTATTGCTTGTTCGTTCCCCGTTTTTATTCAAAAGAACTGTCCAAAGAGGCAAAATCGAAATATATTTTTTTAAAACAAGTTTCGCGAAAGTTTTATTACAATATTCGTTTGGTTCCGTCTGTTCATCGTTCACCAAACGCAATTGGTCGTTAACATGTTCAAGAATTTGTAAGCCTTTTCGATAAAATGGGCTACTTTCGTAAATTGTCTCCAATTCATTAACCTCATTATCGTAAACGTGTTCAATTAGATCGTAATGACTTACTTCATTGATTGTTGATTCATGAAACTTATCAAAATGACTATTTAAAGATGGAGTTTTTTTTAACGAACATGTAATATGAAAGAATGAAGTAATTAAATTTATCATGCGTCTATAACTTTTGGCTTGCAGTATTACGCTAAAGGCATTTATATAAAATTTAACAACCTCTTTTGTACTAAAATTTTTTTTGACAAATCGAACTGTTTTTAAAAAAGTGCGCGCAGCAAAGCTTTATCATTATTTGATTTTTTGGGACACATTCGCTAATACACCATTTAAATGTCATTGCCAGGTAACCTCTCAAATCAACTCCAATCCAACCAGTTAAAACGGCATTTATCATTGCCATTGAGTGGTCTGTAACCACTTCATAAAAATTGGCCAGGCGTTTACCTTTTTTATGACGTATCTTTTAAAATTTATCAAATGATAAGCAACTGAAGCTGTGTCATGGCGATCGCTTATAAAATTAAAAATTTGAGCGTAACCCGCATCAAGACCTACTACGGCGCTGTATAGATATATAGTTTGTTTGCTATGAAGACGACGAACCAGACCCCGTTGAATCTAAATGTATTGTTGGTAAGTCTGTCTGACCTAATCTCAAAATAACTTCAATTTGGTCGTCGGAAAAAAAAGTGGCATAAAATGAAACGGCTGAAACTGCTTATATATAAATTTCATCCGTTTTTTGAAATTTTTGACGTTCTATTAGATCAATAACGTCATCTTTTGCTTTATCGCCTGCAGCCATAGCCTCACATCTCACATTTTAAATACCCCCAACGAATGAATATTTTGTAGATTCCCCTGTTTTATTAATGCAGCATTGGAGGATCTTATAAATTTTTCACGTAAAACAGACGGATGTTGCAATATTAACTGTTCATACAAGTTTTTTCTACGTTGGCCTCTTAGTTGTCTTACTAATTTTCCATTATGGTTATAATTGGTAGACGATGTATAAATATCAATTTTGTTTTGACTTATATTTACCTTAAATAATCTGCACATCTCAAATTTACATTTGAGATAAATAATGTAACGCGAACGATTCTCGCGTTTACTATTTGTGATAGCAATGCAGGGCGAAATGGCATTTTCTACCGCGAAGCAGATACGCTCAGTTGATGTTGCATCTTTTTCGCGGAGGCCTTGGTACACCTCTTCTTCAACTGCACTACTTAAAAGATGCACGGTGCAGTTGGCGTACGTCCTGCAACTAACCTCTTCTCCTTCTTCTTCAAGTTCATGTACCCCTTGGGAATTAGGAATAGATGATAAAAAATTACAAATATGCAGAAAGGGAATATTAAATTTGAGGCAATGTTTATTACAAATAAATTGACGTAGTGCATACAAATTATAATGCATTATAAATTATATATCAATACCTTTTCAACAATTGCAACACTTTCATCATGTGATGCCTGAGTGGCTTGCCGTTGTGATTCATCGATGACATCAGTGTTCTCTACCTGCTGCAAAAAACATTGTATATTAATTATATTACCTTGCAGTATCTTTAAGATATCATCTCTGTTGCTCCGGACGATTGTTTGGTTATCATGCAACCACTTGGCTAAGGCATTGTTGTTACATGTTACTATGCTCTGTAGGTTCTGCAAACATTCATCGTTGCCTTGGGGACCATTTTCAGTTAAACCTAAAAAGCATCTATTCCTCCGCAATAAGTCATGCAATCAGTGAATTTCAAATTTTTAATGTTATCACTAGTTTTGTTACATATTCAATAGTGCTTTTACCGCTTTCGATTACTGAAGTTATTTTTCTGCTTTAGGCTCTTGCAAGCTTGGCCAAACCAACCCTGTTCATCCAAACTAGACTGTATTTTAATAAAAATGTTGATTCGTTTAATTTAATGAATAATATGCATTGCAAAGTAATTGAACTATAGTTCTTTAACGCGTGAACATTTAAATTTACAAAAAAAAACAAAATATGTTTTTTATTTTAGCTAAAAATTAACAAATACTAATGCAATCGCAGCAAAAAGTGAAATTTAAACATTTTAAATTGCAAAAAAGATCGTGATGACTAAAATTGTGAAAAGTACAGATCAATATCGCTAACTTATTAAGTTATCGTTTAACATTTATTTTTGTGGCTTCGTATATTTTTTAGTTATAAAAAAGTAAACCTTTAGTAACTTTTCTCTGTCTATGCCACTTTTCTGGACGTAACTCACGAATTTTTCAATAAAAGAATCCATATCGCAAAACTCGCAATTGTAAGAAAACTAGTTTCAAAAATTGTTTTGAAAAAGCCGCCTAGCAAACAAGCGCTGAAAAAGAACCCTGTATAAAAGCGAACTTCTACGCAACAAATTTTAAATTCACTTATTGATAATTTTTGTGTTACCAAATTATGAAATTATGAATTTAGATCTATTTTTGTTCTTATTATATATAATTGTTTTTCCTTGCCGTAATTATGTGTATTAAACAATTTGTGTGTATAACAATTATTGACATTATATACGTTTCAGTTCAATTATACACGTTTAATTACATTTCTATTTCCATGTTAACTGCAACATTTCTTGTTTTTATTATCAACCTGTGATAATGATGGAGTGTCCTCTCCAGTTTCGGCAATGGCCACAGTTTAAAGCCTGGGTAAACATATATTAAAAGTTAACTGTTACTCATGCAACATCTCCCACTTTCCACTAAATTGGTGCAATTGTATTTGTTTAACATCTGTATCATAATGAGGCTAACAGTTTGTTTCGGCGTGGGTGCCATCTTCAGAGCGTATGTGTGTTTATTTGTTAACATATTTGATCTGAAGATAGCATCCTCGCCGAAACAGCGCTGTTAGCCTCATTATGGTAAATTGGAAGTTAACTAACGCCGAACATCACCAATAATATATATATGTATATATATATTTTGGTAACAAACTGTTGTTAACGCAACATTTCAAAAATTCAACACTACTTTCAACATTGTTCAACTTTTTTATAATTCTTTTTATTTTATTAATTTCAGAGAAATTAGACATTTTATTGTTTATTTTTAATTTTTATTAAATAAATTTGCAAATAGCTATTTCGAGTTATAGATAACTCATCTTCAGTGCATTATATATAAGATATGTAAGATATTTGATAAGAACAAAAATCCCTCCATGAACATTCAAGTACAGTCTAACAACATTCTACCTTCAAATAGACTACTAAATAAAAACAACAATCATTATAATTATAACAACAACAATTACGACAACAGCGATAATTATAACAATGTTATAACCAACAATATTGATGATGTAAACAACAATCATACCAATAGTGACAACCTTAACAACAACATCAACAACACCAACAACAACATCAACAATAACAGCAACAACAACAGTGCCAACACTGTAGATACCAATGCTACAACCCACAGCGCCAATATCAGTTGCAATTGGAACATCATCAATAGTGACAACCCTAACAACAACATCAACAACACCAACAACAACATCAACAACAACAGCATCAACAATAACAACAACAACAGTGCCAACACTGTAGATACCAACGCCACAACCCAAAGCTCAAATATCACTTGCAAATGGAACATCATCACAAGAAGCAAGAAGAACCACAGCGATAATAATAATAATAATAACGTTAACAATAATAATAATAATGTTTTTAAATATTGTAAAAATAATATTAATAATATGTAGTTAATTAAATAAATTAATTCGCGCTTCTCGGCTGAGCGTTGATATTTACCTTAACAACCATAACATAAACAATCTTGCCGTTAAAAATTTTAAAAATCGCGTTTTATATTGTTTATAGTTATTAAATTTATTTTATTGGTTTTCTGTTTTAATTAAATAATTTATATCAATTAATAATTACTTGTTCCTTCTTATCAAATATCTTACATATCTTATATATAATGCACTGAAGATGAGTTATCTATAACTCGAAATAGCTATTTGCAAATTTATTTAATAAAAATTTAAAAAAAAAAATAAAATGTCTAATTTCTCTGAAATTAAAAAAATAAAAAGAAATATAAAAAAGTTGAACAATGTTGAAAGTAGTGTTGAATTTTTGATATATATATATATATATATATATATATATATATATATATATATATATATATATGTTGGTAATAGACCATAATTTTTACAATATTCTATAAATTCTACCGAATGTTTGGCGTTAATATGTTTTTTCGATTTTTCTCACTAAAGTTTTTTGGTGAACATTTAGTTTATTAAAATTCAAAATAAACTTATTTTTCGAATTCATGCTGCAAATAAGGCCATATTTCGATTCCGTCATCGTCAGTGCTCATTGTTGTATATATAGGGAAATATTGACTTTGTCAAGATTAACTTTGACGTTGTAAAAATTAACTTTGGTGTTGTAAAATTGAACTTTGATGCGAATTAGGTGTCAGGTTTCTTAATTGGCTGGTCATCTTCTTTGGTCTCCTTTTCGCATAAAAAACGCATAAAAAGAATCATCTCATCCGACCAATTATTAGCCAAATTACAACTGTCACCTACCCTGTTGCAAAATTCTTGAACAAAATTTTAACCTCATATATTCCAAACAATTACACACTACAATCTTCACGTGCTTTATTGCCTCTCTGGATGTTGAATCATTATTCACAAATGTACCAGTTCATGATACAATCGACATAATTATCAACACCGTTTACCACTCAGATATGGTTCCATTGAACATACCGAAAGCACAACTGAAGTCCCTTCTTCAAATTTGCACTACTGAAGCACCATTCCACAGCCCCACAGGCAAACTTTACAAGCAAATCGATGGTGTTGCTATGGGTTCCCCCCTTGGCGTCCTATTTGCCAGTTTTTACCTAGGACAGCTAGAGAATGAAACATTCAAAAACAATGCAAGTTTAAAACCAAATATCTACGCCAGATACGTGAATGATATCTTTGTCTCCTATAACGATCCTGAACAAATCACCCAACTTCTTGGTACCTTAAACAAATCAAAACTTAGATTTACCATTGAAAGTGAAAAGGAACAACGTTTACCTTTCCTCGATGTGTTGGTCACCCGTGGCGAAGAACGATTCAAAACCGCGGTCTATGTCAAAGAAACGAATACAGAAATTTGTTTGAATGGACAAAGTGAATGCACTGAACAATTTAAAGACAGCACAATAAAATCATTTGTGAACCGGGCATTCACACACTCTTCCGATATTGAAAATCGCGACGCTGAATTAAAGAGGGTCACTAACCTGCTTGTAAACAATGGATATAAGACTTACTCTATTGAAAAGATTGTTAAAAACAAATTACTACACAGCAATAACCTTCCTAGTACCAACAATCAAGATAACGACATCATCTTGTATTACAGAAATTGCTATCGATGAAGAAAAGGAGACCAAAGAAGATGACCAGCCAATTAAGAAACCTGACACCTAATTCGCATCAAAGTTCAATTTTACAACACCAAAGTTAATTTTTACAACGTCAAAGTTAATCTTGACATAGTCAATATTTTCCTATGTATACAACAAGGAGCACTGACGATGATTCATTCGGAATCGAAATATGGCCTTATTTGCAGCATGAATTTGAAAAATAAGTTTATTTTGAATTTTAATAAACTAAACGTTCACCAAACAACTTTAGTGAGAAAAATCGAAAAAACGAACTACAAACATATTAACGCCAAACATTCGGTAGAATTTATAGAATATTGTAAATATATATATATATATACACACATATATATATATATATATATATATATATATATATATATATATTATATCCACCTTTAGCGTTAACATTTTGAAAATTTTTTCAATTTGTTGGAAAGGAGTTAGTCCAAGCTCTTTTTTCTTATAATACATAATTAAATAAAATATATAAATATACAAAACGTGCGTCTACTCAACCGCACGAACTACCTATGCAAACAATTGTTTCAGTTAATTTTATGGCTAAATCATTTGCAGATTATGCTTATTATCATATATGCATATTCCGCAGCTATGTTTTCCGGAAAGTGACACTTTCAAAACTTTTGGTTCTCAGCTTTCTTCTCTGCAGTGGCGGATCTAGGGGCCGTAGTGAGTAGATCGCCAGACTATTTTGGCCACTATTTGGTCAATCTCTTGCCCCCAGTCTCAAATTTCAAGGTCAAATTTTTGCTTCTCGCCGACATCCTAACGCGCAACCGCCCATCTGTTCAACTTTTTACTTGTTCATTCACCCTCAGCGATGTAATTTTAATCATTTCTATATATTCAGTTATTTCTTATTCACATTCTCCCTAAAACCTGATTCGACTTTATTACGCATTTCTACTTTGTACTTGCTGATAATAATTATAATCCTGTTGGTTTACAGAAACTGAGATGAATAAGAGCGTTAAGAATTATGGATTGCGTATCAATAAAAGTAAACGTGATTTGGAAGAAACAAATCAAACAGAAAAATGTCGATCCAGGCGTGGTAGTCTCATAATCTAGCAACAATGACTTAATTGCTCGAAAAAAAAGCTATCGCAAAAGGAATTAAGAGAAATTGTGAGCATAAACCCAGACAAAGTTGAGATAAAATGTAACCTATTCTCTAAACTAATGTACAAAGTTGAGATAAAATGTAACCTATTCTCTAAACTAATGTATGCTTGTGAAACTTAGACAAAGAAGCGACAAAACAGAATGGAAGCTTGTGAAATGAAATGCTACATAAATTTACACATACGAAGATTTATATGAATTTTAGTTTGCTGCTTTTCTCTGTATGAAAATTTAAATTTATTTGTAATTGAGAACCAGCAAATAAAGTGCAAATCGAGTTTTATTACTTATCAAGACAAAAATTTAGCTGTTTCACATTCATATAAATTAATTATGTACATAATTTTTAACAAAAATTCATTTATACTTAGCGATTGACGCATATTTTTCACACAAACATGTCAAAAAATTAACATTTATGAGGCGAGAAATTTCAAATCAAAAATAACTTTTAGCACAAAATAAAAACCCATTAGGGATTATAGAAGTCATACTAAATATAAATTAATAAGTATGATTTCAAAAATAATTGAACAGCTCATCTATATTTAACCAAATTTTATTTTCGCAAATAACTCTCTCCGGCGATTTCAGTTTATTTTAAACCAAACCATGGAAGGCCCATTGCTAGCAGTTTTGAAAGTTGATTTGAAAAATGAAAAAACTAATTTAAACATTTTTTTATTACAACCAATTATATCTGAAGAAATTTAAAGACATTATTAATTTTTGACGAAAGATAAAACTGAAATTAAAAAGAAAAAAAATCAACAGATACATAGAGCTTGCTCTGTATATCATATTTCATCCTCCATCTCTAACTTGACATCATAATCAGCCCATTGCCTGTGGTATAATATATTGGAATTAGATTCACTCTAGTTAATATTTATGTAGAAAAAAACAAATTAATCAATTTATAGAACTTGCTATATGACTATGTTTTATTTATACGTAATTGGATATTAATTGTAAACGAAAATTCAATTAAATTTTTTGGACCTGATTCTTACAAATATTTAAAATATTTAATAAAAAGTAGTGTACTTTTATTTTACAAATATTTTCATCGCTACAAAATCCGACCTTCGAATAAATGAGTTCTACAAAAATGTCATATATATATATATATATATATATATATATATATATATATATATATATATATATAAAATCAATCAATCAATCTTCGTTTTGCGTCCGGAGACCCGGTTTCCCGAGGTAGGACGTATATATATATATATATATATATATATATATATATATATATATATATATATATATACACACATATGTTGTGGTTGTGCCCAGATGCACAAATATAAATATACTTTTACGTGTTTTCATTATCGATAAATATAACACTTTTATGTGTTTTCATTATCGATAAATATAACACTTTACGTATTTTCATTATCGATGATTCCTGTTTTTTAATTCCTTGGTAAAAAGAATTCCAATTGCCCGTTGTTGAATATTTATTATCGGATGTCTTTGTTCTATGAGTATTGATTCGGCTAGTCGTAAATTATAATGGTTGTTACTGTAATGTAAAATTTCAACATTGTGGTCCAACATTTGCGAGTGCAAAAAATCGCGAGTTTGTTTATGCTGAAATGCGAAGCATGGTAGATAAAACTGAGTCATCCATACCACCTGAAATCATATCAGAGCATTTTGATAACACACATCTGGATCTGGACAGTGTTGGTGAATGTAGCTATTCAGATCATCGGCCACCATTAAAAAGACTTAAAGCTGACACTGAATTGGATTTACTCGCAGATTTCAAAACAGCTGCAACTCCCCTATCTAATTATGACAAAAACGACAAAAGACACGAACTAAATAAATATTTGGCACCGCCTGTAACTGGCTGTCCCGCATTGCAATTTTGGAAGGAAAATGATGTCAAACACAAGCTTCCAAAAATGGCATTGATTGCTAGAAAGTTGTGAGCTATTCCTGCCACCAGTACAGCTAGTGAAAGAGTTTTTTCAGCATGCGGCGTGACATTGAGTGACCGTAGGGCTAGGTTGAATCCAGAAACATTAGAAATGTTAATGTTTTTAAAATTTAATATGCAGCCTTGAAATCTTTAAATATCATTCACTCACATGCTAAATCATTTACTGCATAGTATTTTTTAATAGATTTGTGTACCTTATTTTGTATATTAAAAGAAAAATTATTATGGTCTTTATTGTTTCATTAATTTAAAGCTATAATTTCAATCGTATATCTACTAGTTTTTATTGCGACTAATTAAGTCGATCAAAATCTTATCGAACCGAACCTGAACTTGTTGTGACCTGACCGAACCGAACCCGAACTTTAGGCCTGACCGAATCGAACCGAACCCGAACTTTGGGCCTGACCGAACCGAGCTCAAACATCCAAGGTAGGGTTCGATTCCCATCTCTACTCAAGACCCATGTAGTGCAGCATCAAATATCATGGTTTGAAATTTTGAAAATTAAACAAAAAATAAAATAATTATTTAGATTTTTAGTTATTCTGCATCTGATTTAGTTATTTGGTATAATACACAAAAAAAAGTTTTTATAGTTTATAACACCAACAAATCAGAATATAAACCAAAAGCACCTAAAGTGAAGAACTCTAATAATTGTAATTCTATTTTATAGGTATGAAAAAACAAGTTTCAACACATGTTATAATGCGCAAGCCTATAACTCAGCTTTTATGTTGTGTAGCTAACAATGTGATTTGAGCGAATGTTGGTAATATCATGTCAAGTAACTTTATAAATGTTGCACTATCACATCACAACAACAACACACGTTTAGACGGCATTTTCCCCGAGATCGGGGGTTGCCGTTTGGCTACCTATGATGAAACCGAAATACCCCTCGACGCCATCCACATCTGTCACTCGCCTCAGTATCACGCAACCCCGCTTTCACCCTGTCCTTCTCCACCTGCTCTCTCCATCCCAATCGCGGACGACCCCTTCCTACCACTCCTTCAACCTCGAACTCCAACGCTCGCCTTCAACCTCGAACTCCAACGCTCCCCGACCCTTTTCATCCCTTCTCAACACATGTCCATACCACCGCAATCTCGATTTCCTTATCAATGTCACAATGTCCTCATTCAGTCCCATCATTGACATCAGCTCTGTACTACTCCTCCTATCCTTCACTTTAACCCCACACATCATCCTCACCATAGCTCTTTCAGCCCTCTGCAGTACACTTTCCTCCTCTCTCCTCAACACCCAAGTTTCACCACCATATACCATCGCTGCTCTCACACATGCTTTATATACCCTCCCTTTCATCTTCACTGACCATTTCTTTCCACACAATACCCCACCCAGTTCCCTAAATTTCATCCATCCCACACGAACTCTAGCCGTAACTGCGCTCAAACATCCCCCATCCTTATCCCCTAAGTAAACAAAGCTTTCCACTCTTTCAATACCACCACTCAACCTCGTCCTTGCGTCCGTCCTATTAATCACACCATGAACACATTTCTTACATTTGAACGTGCCTTCCAACTTTTTCAGTGCCCCCCTCACACCACTC